GAAGAATATGTTGACTACATAATCTTTTTGAGTATATTTTTTCAGATAAAGTGCTCTAAAGTTCTTTGGGACGCAGCAGTTTGAGAGTATATGTATAAAGGTTTGATCATCTACCATATGTAGTAATATTTCTTCTTCTCGTTTTCTTTATATTGTGCAATATAATCGTTTTTCCCATTTTTCTTTTTTTTTATTATTTATTAACAGAATATCTTTTTTTTTTTGTAAAATCTATTACTGGAGGTTTCGCCCAGGGTGATCGCCTAGGTCTACACTGCTGTCATTAGGCCAATGCTAAATTACGGAGTTATTGCTTGTGTATCAAAAGTGTAACAGGCAACAGCGATTAACAAACCAAATTATATTCAGCGGATGGCTCGCATAAATATAACAGGTGCCATAAAAAGGACACTAACTGGTAAAATTGAGTTGGCCATTGGCATCACGCCTCTAGACATATATGCCAAAGAGGTGGTTCTGATGACATTGATGTAGGAATGGGACAATTAAAAAGTCGTTTTTGGCGGGAAAAGCTGGATGCCCTACACCTGATACAGCCAGGTTGCGACTAAATCGAAAAAACTAAGTATGGGGAAACAAGCATGGCAAATGCGTATTGCATAAACACCGATGGCTTCAAAATGAAAGAAGGTCAGGGTGCGATATATACTCCAGATCACTAAACCTAAGAATAAAGTGGGGTATGGGCAAAAATGCTAGTATAGTTCAGAAAAAACTGGCTAGTATCTCCATAGTCGCAAAAGAGATAACCCAAAAAGGTATAACTGGGAAAACTATATTAATCTGCACAGATAGCAGACAAGCGCTACTAACTTTGAATAGACCACGTGTCACAAGAGGGTTAGTAATGGAGTGTTATGAATCAATAACTTAAGCTTTGAATGCTATTACCATCATCCTGAGGTTAGTTAAAGGACACAATAGGAATAAAGGCAATCGCATTGCTAAACAATTGGATAGGATGGCGGCAGGCTTAATACTTTTAGGACTTATGGATCTTTTTGGTTGGTTAACTACAACAATCACGACAATTGTCAAATATGCGAACCGTAAAAAAACGGAAAGAAGGGCAAATATGTAGAGTTGCAAGTGTAACACTAAGTCAACTAAGGTCATTGTCAACTAAGCAAACACATCTAAACACTTGGATAGTAGACAAACCCCTATTCAGGAAGTGTAAACGAGAAGACAAAACTGTAAAGAATGTTCTAATGTGAATGCCTGGAGTTATCGTTAATACGAGAGTACGCGTTCGGCGAGTCCTGGCCCACACCTGCTTACATAAGGGAGATGTCACCTGGTGGCTTGTCCACCTTCCTAAAAATGGCAGGATGGAATATGAGCTGAAGACGACAGCTCCTTGGTAGAGTGCACAATGGATCAATTGTGCTGTGGAACTTAACTTGTCCTTTCTGCTCTACATATAGGTACAAATACTGGAGGTTTACGATCACAAAATCAAAATGTCCTTTATTTTCTCTATTCTGCGCTCCTCCTAGTAATTGCTGAACTTTGATGCCGTCCAAGTTCTAATATTGTGAAACTATTAATTCTTTATTCCGATTACACCACATTGGCCATCTATTTTCTCTAATTATTAGTTATAGCAAGTTATTTTTGTCATATCCCAGTATCTGACGTATGTACTAGGTCTTTGTTTTCTTAATTATTGTCCTAAGTTCTAATTTTCTATTTCTGTTATACAATACTGTTGGATTCGTATTATGTTAGCAGAATATAATTACATAAAATTTTATTTGCAGATAAAACAGTTGGAAAAATACTAGTATATAAAATATTCTATAAAGAGATAAAATAAATTTTTTGCTTTGGCTAAATTAAATTTTATTGTGTTGTCAAGGCAATATTTCTTCTTTAGAAAATCAGATTTATATTCAAGTGCAAAAGTCATAACCATATAATATTAATGTTATACTTAACAGCTGGTATTATACTTTTTCCAGATTTACACTTAATTAAACATTTAATTATAAATTATTAAATTTTCTAACTTAAATTTGTATAACGTGTTAAAGTCTCTTCTTAAAGTTTTATAACTATATAATTAAAGTATATAGTTTTAGTAAAAAGTAATGTTTTAGCGATGTAATTAAAAATATAATATAATGAATAATATGACAGGTAATGTATCATTATTTAAAGCTCCTCTGTCAATCAGTAAATTTGTATATATCCATGCAATTCTGTTGTATAGAAAAGACTAGGGACAGTTGTAGCATGGTACAATAGTAACATTAGGCATATTCATTGTTAGGATAATTTCAAATTTGACGTTTGAGGTTGAGCCGGTTGACATTACAAGAGACGACTTGTGCTGTGAATGCAGCGCGTCAATTGTAGTACAATTCTCTCCACGTGAAATTGTGCGAAGTTTAGATAGATATATGTAATACCTGATTACTTTAATTATTTTGTTAAAAAAAAGCAAATGTGTTGCAAGTGCTTAGAAAATATTACGGTATTACGGGTTCTACGTTCCCTGGCTGTTCAACTATTCAATGTAAAATTTACAAAGGATAAAATTAATACGGTTCCGCCATAGTTTTTATTTCCAAGCAAGCAGTTCAAACCAGACTTTATGACTCAAGCTTAAGTAGGTTTTATCGAAAAAGCTAATAATTTCTATTAGATGGACACTGACACTTTTTTTATCTTTATGAAATATTTTATAAGATGTACTAAGCCAACTCCTGAAAATAAGATACTACTTATTTTGGACAACCATAGATTGCACCTATGTCTTTAAACTATTGACTTTTGTCGAAAAACTAACATTGTTCTTCTGTCCATATGTCGCACAAATTATAGCACCTAACTCGTAGTATCTACAGACCACTAAAATCTTATCGAAATAACTGTATAGGTGCTTAAATGGAGAATAATCCCAGTCAAACTGTGAACATTTATGACTTCCTGGACATGTTGCCAAAACACCGTACGCTGAAGTAATGAAAGATACTTCGCCTGCCAGTATACTTAGTGATTTTAAAGTAAATGGGATATTCCTTTTTAATAGAGATATGTTTAAAGATCATGAATTTGCACCATCCTAACCCACCGACAAGCCCTATGATCCCATGCTTGTGAGATCTGCCAAAAGAACCTGTGCCATTGCTGTCATCTACCTCTAAATAACTACTTCTATCTATACCCGATGGAACTGGCGAAAATGGAACAGCGCCTTAGATGGTTTTAACCACATCTAGAGGAATCAAAAAGCTAAATACTTTTAAAAAGCTATTGAAAAGTATTTGCGTCTTATCAAATCTTCTACGACTGCTAATAACAGTACTACAAATAAAAGAAGGAGGACAACATCTGTTTTATTAGAAATACCTGAGAAGATCGCATTTGATTTGAAGAAAATATAGCAAAAGTAAAGAAAAATAATACAAATAAGGTAAAAATACCGATTTCGAAGAAAAATAATTAGACAGAGTTAAGCTCGGCAGGTAATAATGATACTTAGTACTTATATTGTTTTAGTCGTACTCCAATGACAAGAAATAGCAACTTTGAAAAGGATGGACTTATTCTCATTGCAGAGATAATGACGATTTATATTTTTTACTGCACAATTTTTTTGGTTGTATTGGTTTGTTTTAAAAACAAAAGAAACGTTAGTACATTAGATAAAGAATTACACAAAGTATTAAATACTTATTCAATTAAGTTCTTTCTTACTCTTAGAAAAACTTGTATCTACCAAATTTTAAGAGTGTCTGGATTTTTTTAATAAAATAGAGAATAAAAAGAATATAAAAAGAAGAATACTTGTTGTTAGACACAAAATTTATTTTAAAGTGTTTTCTTTGTTCACGAGAAAAGTATGTAATAAGTTGTTTTAACATTATATTACCTATACATGGACTATTCATAGTTTTATGATATTTTGCTGACTTATGGACCCTATTTACATTCGTCATATCGCGTCTTAGACAAGAAAGCTGCCTACTTCTAACACTAAGCATGTAACTATAATAAAAAACCCCCTTTCTTATAAGTGTTTTCATCTCTGCTGTTTCTAACATCCTTTTTGTCCTCTCTGTGTCAGATCTTGTTTCTGCCGCGCAGGTCATTATTGGTCTGATGACTGTTTTGTACATTCTGCCTTTCGTTTCTTGCCCGATATTCTTATTTCTCCATATTGTTTCATTCAGGCAGTCTGCGGCAGCCTGCGTATTAAAACTTACTATCTAATAAAGTATACCTGCAAATTATCTGAACAAATAGTAAAATCTTCATCTTTTGAATAATAGAGTACTGAACATACAAACTTTTGGGTTATATACAAAAAACTAAGGTTACTCTAAAATACGAAACGAAAAGACCACGAAAACTATGGAACGACAACTTACTGGAGACACATTGAAAAATAGACAGAGTCATGTCCATATAAAAAGAAAAAGAAGAAGAATAACGGTACCAGAACTTGAGAAATTTAAATAAAAAATGTAAACATTAGTCTTTAGTGTCCGTGTCCTTACCATTGGTTGTCAAGACACGTAAGTTTAAAAAAAATATAAATAAAATAAAAATTTTCGCTAAAATGTGGCCCTCTTTAAGTATATTTTAGTATCTTTTAAAAATAAGTACTTTTACTTAACTAATTTGATTTGAATTATTGTCTTCTTTATTTTTTGAGTACTATAATAAATCAAAAATTTAAATACAAAATAAAAAGTAAAAAAATATATAGTTCTGATTTTCTAAAGACCTTCTTTACAATAAGTTTATAAATCATTCATTAAAAATATGGCAATTGACGCAAAATATTTGCGTGACTTTATTTAGTTTGGTTTTTAAAAGTGTGTATTTTAAAAACCAAACCGACAATCACTAACTCCTCTAGGGTGTCCCTTCTAAGCCTGCCCTGCTATGAGGGACTGTCTACAATGAGGCGGCCAATTGGCATGGCTCTGTTCGGTATGGTGTGGTTATTGCGCGTGCGCAGTGAAATGAAAAGATGTGCCAAGTGCCGTCGAGAATTAAGAGAAAGACAATTAGATCAGCAACAAAGAACTCCTGCGTCTTGTTCAACATTTTTTACTATTGACGCTCCAACGGTACTGCCCAGTACGGAAAATCTGCTGACGCCGGAGAGGATGGGCCCGACGACCTACTGTGAAGTACATGGGTTTAATCCTCATAAAGAAGGTAAGGTTTAACAATTAAAAAAATATTAGATAGGTTTTGAGGTGCCACATGCAACAAAATAAACAAATTTCTTTTTATATAGCAGAATATTTATATACCAGTTTATGGTAACAGTTTATCATTAAACTAAGTTTAACCTTTTAACAATCGCGTGCGGTCTGTGAGTCCGAACATAAATATAATTACACTTTTTCAGGTAAAGAGAAATAAATAAAAAGGCCTATAGACCAGGAAAATAAGGTTTTTATTCGTGACACTGGACAGTCTAAATAAATGACAGTTTTTTATAAGTAGTATGGATCTATATATATATATATATATATATATATATATATATATATATATATATATATATTGTTGTGATCTGCTTTATGATATTTTATTATTAATTAACACTAATTTAATTAATCCGATTATTTAATTAATTAATTCACTAATTTATGCAGAGTCATAAAATTCAATTACTATTAAAAATTCTCAGGGTGCCTTTTTTGGTAATTATTACTTTAATCAGTTTACTTTATCTATCTCTTCTAGTGGGGTTCAGTATCTCCTAGTTGCTCATAATCGGGATAGAACAGAAAACGGAACCAACATTAAAACAACATAAATATGGACACAAATTATTATTTATTTTTAATAAGCAATACAATGAATATTAATAAATAACTTTTGTGGGCAATTATCTTTCCCAACAAACTCCTATACTCTAAATTTAATTTTAATTACAAACTATCTATTGATCTGTGTTATAATAATATCTACTAAAAAAAAATTGACCATATAAAAATATAATTTATTCACAAAAAAAAAAATAACTCTTTGAAACTTGGAATCTTAGTTCGTATGCTTATATTTGATTTTATCTTTAGAATATCTTAAAATTTTCTTTCATTCAAATTATTTGCCTGACCTTTATTTTCACACCAATGTCTCAATGTCCAATTTTGACTGGAGATGTCTCCTCTCTATCAAACCACAGTTCCTTCCTTGATTGATTATGTCCGGCTACCATCAAATCTTTCCCGTTCTCAGCATCGATCCAAACCGCATACAAGCAAACTACTCCGAAAACACAAGCCCAAGCCTCTTTTGACCGGTACTCTTTATTCACAAATTCTCCTTTCTTTCTCAATTATATCTCGTGGACTATGCAGACTCAAAAGAGGTATTAATCTTCTCGATTTTGATCTGCTCTCAGCACCTTTTTCACTAACAAACGAAAACACTGGTACTCAGATCGACTACACGAAAACACGTCTTCTCTTTTGGTCTGCCGGTAACGTAATAATCTTTCAATCTCTCCCAGACAACCTTATCAACTCTCTCATTCCCTCCATTCTTTTTTAACCAATCATAAGCATTCATCTTTTCCACTTATTTTCGATTTAGAAAATTTCCATCATGATATTTAAAACAAATAAACTACTTTCACTCAAATTACTTTTCAGAAACCATTAACAATTTTGCCTTTTTCAACAGAAATAAGTTTCCAAATTCTTGTTATCTCTTATCTAAATCTAATTCTTATTTACTTTCGAAAAATGCCCACCGCAAAATACAATTACAAGTTTATTCCTAAATCTATAATTATACGGGTTCCATTGTCCTTTCACTATTCACTCAGTCTTTCACGGAAAAAACTCGTTAGGGTCCCGTCACGGAACAATATTTTCTCTTGTTCTAACTATTACAAATAAGTACAGGGTTGTATTTTAACTTATATGCCCACGGTATATTAAAATAATAAAAAACTCTTTATTCTATTTCTGATCGATAAACTGATCCATAACAATATATATATATATATATATATATATATATATATATATATATATATCCTATATATTTTCTATATATTTCCTGCAGTTGTTTTTTTTTATACTTAATTAGATTTTTTCCTTTATAAACTACCTCTAGAATTAGTGTATTATTTATATTTTCTGACTTATATTGTTGAAAAAAAAAAAAATTTGGGATAAACAAATAAAATAACTTTTAAATGTTTTTACCAATCACTTTGGAAATTATATCATATTTTGACCACTACAAGGTCCAATTACTCATGTAATATGAAAGCTCTAAGTTAATTTTTAAAAAAGTTAATTATTTAAACATTAAAAATACCATGGACGTATAAACACAGATGGACTCAGTTATTTACATAAAATTGTGAAGTCAAAATTATTTGAATATGTCACATTCTCAGCACCTCCAACTGTTGTCACGTTTTTTATTAAAAATTCTTATTCGCGAGTCGCTGAAAATATTACTCCGTATTTTATACTCTACAGGTGCTATCAAACCAAAATAATAATTTATTGGTTATATTAATATATCTAATTGTAATCAAAATATCAAGGGTGCACATAAGTGTGCATTATCATTTAATAATAGCGTATATTTAGATATCAATAAATTATTTTATATTTAGAAGCACTGAAAACTATTTACAAATGGCAACGGTTGTTTACATTTCTCTGTTTTACGGTTCTACGTCAAACTTCAAATGCTATTCCATGTTTGTTTACAACGATTGAGGAAATAAGGAAAAATTGTTTTTAGATAATTTTGGCTGTATTTTGAGTGATATTTGTGAAAAGTGAAATAAAATAAACGAAATATTTACATCCCGGTCTTTCATTTCATTTGTAAGTACATTAAATATACATTATTTAAGATGAGGAAATGAAAAAGCGTGTTTGTTTACATTTTAATAGGCGTACCATTGGGCTTATTCATGTTCATTAATGTATTCAATAAGATATAATAAAATTGTATTTTAATTTTTCTATAAAGACGTGATTTGTTAATAGTTAAATTCTCGTTTTTTTTTAATTCTTTGAACGTGTTTTTATATATTATTACTAGGTACTTCCAATTTTTAAAATCTGAATAATTACCCGCGAGTAAAAATTCAAGCACGCTTATACTCATTGCGGAAGCATCACATTCTATCGAAGCTTCAAAACATTGTGTGTTAAAGGTATCTTATTGCTGTGTCCATCTATGTTTATACGTCCATGAAAAATACCATTTGCAAAAAAAAATCTGATTTATTTTTCAACTTTATAAGCAACAAATGAGGATAAAAACATATAGTAAACGCTATTTTCTAGGTTTTGTATTACATAGAAGTTTATTAACCCTTAAATTTGTTTCAAATGCTTCACTTTTTGCTAATAAATAAACGAAAAAAGTGAAAATTTACAGTTTTTGAGCTTAGTTAGTAATAAACTAATTAGATAAAAAAATCGACCGCAGGAAACATATAGTTTCTTAAAATTAATGGGAAAAACCCCGTAATATTAATGGGAAAAACCCCGTAATTGACTGTATACCATCGTTTAAAAAAACACAGAAGTTAAAACACTTCACACATGTGTATTGTGGTATAAAAACAAACAAATATTTAAAACTTTTTAAAAGTGTCGTCAACATTTAAATTCTGGCAGAACGTTTTCAATCTGAACAGATCATCCTCAGTGCCTTGTGTATTTGTTGCTAACAGTAAATTTGTATATAAGACCTCCATGTATGGATTTACAGTATTCCAAATTATACATTTAATAATGTTTTGACTCCACGTCGATGACAATGGATATATTTTTAAAATTACTTTAGGGATTATATGTCTCCCTGCTCGATTATTAGCACGTGGTACTTGTCAGTTGAAACGACACAGACCCCCGTATATAGGTTCTTGTTATACAGGTCCATGCTACTCAAAACAACTGTCGTTGGCCTGGCCGGTTCAGTGTCACAAACTGGATATATTTTTTGCTTATATCTCTGTCCAATTACTCACAATTAATTTATTCTACCACAGACGACCGGTTTCACATACTACAACGTACTGTGCATCCATAAGTCTCTGGTATGGTTAACATTTTGTAACCATTTTCAAGAGTGATACGGTTTCGTTCGAGTTCGGGGACTCAATCTGCCTACTCCTCTCACTCGTGACGTACCAGTACGCGTTCTCTATAGATACAACAACCGTCAAACAGCACTGAAGACTCAGTCTGCCTACCCTCAATGTCGAGTGACGACTTGTCTATATAAATAAAATAAAATAAAATAAAAACATTTATTGCCCTAATAATATCTGACATGTCATAACTTATAATTTTGACTTCTTTCTTCTTAACGTTCCGCTCTTGCACCGTCTTCTTCTTATTTATCTCCCTCTCGGCATCCTGGACTTCTCTGGGTGGTTTACGTCGTCTTTTTCTGTAGGTACTATTTTAGGCATCGTACCTACTTCCCTGCATGGCTGTTTTCCGGCAACCATCCGGCTAGACCCCGATCAGATGGTCGATCAGTTTATGGGTTTGTCTATGCATCCTCTGGATCCTGTTTTTCTCGAGGATGTCCCTGGTCTTATGGAGTCTTCTTGTAGCCTGGTGGAAGAAGTACCTGGTCCTTTTCTCGGCCATCTCCCTCAGTGGTGTGTACTGGAGCCTTTCTTTGATGGTTGCATTAGTTATTCTTTCTTCCCATGATGTTCCTTCGATGATCCGGTAACATGATATTTTAGTGGCTTCAAGCTTCTTCCAGTAGGTCTCCGCTATTAAACTCCAAACTGGGACTGCATACAACATCACCGACCTAACGTAGGCCTGGTACAACTGAATCTTCTTGGCCTTCGATAGGGGCTGCACCTGAAAATATAAGAAACTATTAGTTTTTACCTTATATTTGCCTTTATAACCTATATTGGCTTTTACCTTAGTTTTTTGTGTATGCATCCCGAAGTTAAGTCTTCTGTCGAGGTGGACTAGATACTTGACTGAATCTGCTCCTTGGATCCTGTTTCCTCCTACTGTGATTCCGTAATCTGGTGATCTCGTATCCTGTGAAAAGACGATGAATTGTGTCTTCTCCGCGTTGATTTTTATCTTTCATTTTTCTGTAAACTCCGTAATTTTTCCTATGTGGTTTTCCATGTTCCTGATTATTCTTCTTTTCATCTTTTCCGGATGCATACACTGCAGTGTCGTCCGCATAT